GAGTTGCATTAATAAATAAGGCCAAAAAAATAAATAAGAATGCTGGGAAAATGAAAAGAGTACCATCTAACAAAGAGCGATTAGGATCTAAATTACATTTACTGTGCAGCAAAGTGGTCGAGAGAAAATTCTTTAACTGCATCAAGAAAATTTACCAACTTAAGGATAAAATAATCAAGTTACAGATGACATCTAGCCTCACTTGTACTTGCACAAATATCTAGCCATCTATTCTATGAACTCGTTTCAAGTGTTTAAAAGCAAAAGCATGGAGATTTTAAATACAATGAGATGTAACAACTTACATTATTAAGACAATGGGGGAAGTAGGAATGAGGTGCCGGAAAGTAGTTCGGGAACTTTTGTAATAGCGGCAGCCAGTCATCAAATTGCTCTATTTTATCTGTCAGGATTATAAGAAATAAAATGAAGAATACAGTATTTGAAAACGCTCGGTGGTCTAAAAATTGTGTGTCAAGTGGAAGTTAACTTCATGTGTTTACTTTCAAAATATTTCCATAATGTAGTTTCCGATTAATAAAATGGATCTTGAGCATTTCTTGTTTAGGCTTATTAACAGGTCTATTCAGCAGTATGCCCGAGAAAATTACGTAGTGTTAGTGGACTTACTTTTATTTCGAGTGAAAACGTTTTGGTGAAACGATTCGAAGGAAGATCTTACCATAATACGGCGGCAGATTCCTCTTGACCATCTGTAGTTTGGTTTTGCTGAAACATTCTTGTTAACGTTGTTTCGAAGGCAATCTTCTTTAATTCCAGTGAAAACGTGCTAAGCTTTCGCTCTTTATTTTGCGGACATCATCAGAGCAGGGTATTATCCTTACAAGCATATGTACGCTGAGTTATTTAAGCTCAACAAGTATAAAACGAGAGATTCACATATACATGGTGCTAATTTGATTAGAAGATAGTAATGGTTGAATGTAAGAAAAATGATGTGAATTGAACTGCTGTATGGTTAGCGAGCACAAAATTTTCTTACAATTAAAAATCAGGATATAGAAAAATGTTTTTGGCCTTGTTGCCAAAACGCGGTAGAGTAGTTGTGCCAAATGGCTTGCTTAGCATGTTACCTTATTACCTT